AATCTGCTACTTTGCAGTAGCATAATAAACTGTGGTTCAGGGATCCTTAAGGATTCCTAAGCAGTTCTTGACCTTTATTCACAATTTTTTTTTTTCCTGGTGAAGTGGTCGTTGACTGTGCCACACAGACCATTTCTGTGTGCACTCTAACCTGTAAAGCACCTACAGTCATACAAGAAGGAAGAAGTTCTTCACTGAAGGGGTTGTCAAGCGTTGGAATGGACTGCCCAGAGAGGTGGTGGAGTCGCAATCAAGGAATGACTTGATGATCTTGGAGATCTTTGCCAGCCTTAATGATTTCTGTGATTCTGCAATAAGGATGCACAAACATGGAGCTGTAGAGAGTTCCAGACTCTGGCAAGTGTACGAGGTGACACCTGGAAACAGTGAGATATTACAGTCACCATGATTGACAATGAATGCCACGTTCTACTGTCAATACCTGCAAACTCTTCAGAGAATGAGGAAGGATTTAATGGAAAGTAATGGATAAACTTTGAAGGCATGTATTTTTGAAGGACTTCTCCAAGGCACTTCAGCTCAAGAGGGAAAGCAAATGTAACCAGTGAAACACGGCAAATGATTCTTGGAAGTTATGAATGTCAGCTGCTTGTTGTGGCAATGGTTCTAAACAGTTCTTCAATCCAGTACTTATAAAACAACATTAGCTTACTTGCACGTTGATTATTTCTTACAATATGCTCTTACTTCTCTGAAAAATATCTGGCTCTTTGAACAGCTCCAGTGGCTTCCAACATATGTCTATTCAGGGTATCTGAGCCTGGAGTTTCACAGCTTTATGTTTTTTTTTTCCCCCTCAGTAGAATTGTCAATGAGAAGGTCTCAATTCATTTTTATTTTAAGTTCATTTCTGAAACTGACTTTCCAACAAAAATAAGGATGAAAGAGATATGAGAAAAACGTGTCACAACCAGCCACTTTGTTAATAAACAGAACAGTATTATTTTTACAGTAGAATGACACAATTAGGGAGGAAAGTCACACATTTAGCCACAATAAGGTGGAGTGTATTGGTTGTGAAGTGATTCCCACTGACTATGGGTTATTACATAGCCATATTTTTTTTTAATTTATTTTTTTGAGGAAGGTGGAAATGCACTATTGGGGCCCTCTTTGGACCTACCTACTCACCCTTCCTATCCCTGCTACTCCTTTTTTCTTTTCACTGCTTCTACAGCTTCCCTTTTATTCCTTCAGTGGTGGGTTTGTCTGTCAGGTTTAGCACCATGCAGCTAAAACCAAATGAATAAACTCAGCAGGGACTAGCTGAGTAAACCTGGAGTAACTCTACCATTTCTGTTTGAACTTCCCTTGGCTTCTGCATTTCAGAAGTGCTAGAACCACTAGTCTGGTTTGCAGCAAACCTGAATGTGAGCATGGAGGTGGGGAGAAGGTAACAACTAAACTCCTCCCCACTCCCCCCCCCCAAAAAAAACCCCACAAATAAACAAACCAAGAATTGGATTACATATTTCTGCAGCTTATAGATGTGAGTCTACATGAGGTATGGGGATCACATCCACACACATATAAACCTGTATAGCTCTTTTGCTGATCCAGACAGAATTTTGTTCAGTAATGGTTACAAACTCATTTGCTGTTTCTGCTCTCTGTATTGTTTTTAGAGTTCTTGCTGCTTATGGAGTGCCCAGGTTGGCCCACCAACTGCACCAGAAACCACGAGGGTAAGGGCTAATCGACCCAGTGCCTTGAAGTCCTTTTTAATTAGCCTCCTTCGTTAATGTCATCGCTGCCAGTCTGGACTAGCAGCAGTGGATAATAATCAGAGGGCCAGATTAGCTTGGGGAGTCTCCCACTAATATCCCTCACCTGGGCCCTGGGAAGGCAGCAAACCTCCCTGTGGGATGGTTCCAGTTGGCATTTAGGACCCTTGGTTCCCCTCAAAAGGGAGTCACCAACTACAATTACCCTTTCTTTTTTTCTTTATAGCTGTGATCGTAATCCATCTAGTAAACAGGGTGCAACCAGGAGACCCTCCAGACAGATCCTCTTCTTGACTGCCCTCTACCTGACTCTCTGGGTCCAGGGCCTCATATCTCTCCTTGAAGGGCACCTGGGAAGGTGACGGGGGTCAGGAGGGGATTCCTTTACCTCTTCCATCAGGGACCTGTTTCCATTCCCCCCAGTCTACTTGGTTTGCTCCAACTGCCTGATGGTAGGATAGGCAGGGCTTCATTGTCTCCTGGTGGACTTCTTTTGGGGTTGAAAGGGTATGACTCGACCCTTTCACTCTCCCTAATGCTTCTTCACCTCTCCACTTCTTCCTTGAGCTCTGCCACCAGGCACAGCAAATCATTCACCTGCTCGCATCCTACACAGATGCCACTCACCCTGTCCTCTGGTACCAATGCCAGACTCAGACACTCCGGGCAGCCAGAGATCTGCACAGCTGCATCCTTCCTGGGGGGTTCTGCCTGGGTTAGCACACTCCCCATGAGAGCAACAACAACGACTTTTGGTCCTTTGGAAACCATTGCTGGGTCGAGTTGAGTTGCAGGGAAAAAAAAAAACAAAAATACAGACATCACAAACCTACCTCAAAGGCCACAGCAGAGAGCTGGAAGGCTGACTGAGTGCTTCCTGCCCACCCTGCCTGTGGGACCTGCCATGCAAACTGCCCTGCCACACTCCTCTTTGCCAACTCCTGTTCCACACACTCCCCATTGCTAGCACACCCTGGACCACTTTAAATCACCCAGAAAGGACCTCTACTCCACGCCCTGTCAGCTGATAAGGCCCTGCAAGGCGGCTGGGCTGGGCTGGCCTGGGCTCAGCTGAGAGCCATTTCTTCCTGCAGTTTAAATATCCCACAAACGACCTGAGCTCCAACCAACAGTCAGCTAATTAAGGTTTGCTGGGCAGCTGGGCTGGGTTGAGCGGGGAGGAGCTTCTCCATGCAGTATAAATCTCCCACAAACAACCTCAGCTGCCTCCTGGTCAACTCATTAAGTCTTGCAGAGAAGATGGGCTGAGCTGGTCTACTGAAATGCCAGGAGAGAGAGCTCTTGTTACCTATGGACTGCCTAGGCTGGATCACAAACTGCACCTGGAACCCAAAGGTCACAGGCTTTCTTTCCTGAGAGAAAGGGCTGTTGTTCCTTTTTGTGATCCCTGTGCTGAAACTGCCACTCCAACTCCTAAAATTGAAGACCAATGAAGGTTCCCTCCAGACAAAAAGAGCCAGCCCAGAAAGCTCTTCTTGCCCATTGACTGCCCAGGCTGGCCAACCAGCTGCACCTGAAACCATGAAGGTAAGGGCTTTCTTTCCTGGGGGAAAGGGTTGTTGTTCACTTACAGGAATCCTTGAGCAGATATAGGCAGTCCAACTCCGAAAATTCCATACGGGCGAAGATTACTCCCACAAAAAAGGTGCCACACCAGAAAGCTTTTGTTACCCATGGAGTGCCCAGGCTGGCCCAACAACTAAAACTCCACCCCAAAGCTTGAAATCTCTCACTCCTGAGAGAAAAGAGTGTTATTCATTTCCAGAAATCCTGCTCTGAAATTGCCACACCAACACACAATATTGAAAACAGGTGAAGATTCCACCCAGACCAAAGGTTGCAGGCTTGCTTGGCTGGGGAGAAGGACAGTCTCAAAATGCATTAGAAGACCTATCCTGGATAAACTGGGACCCTTATGCTTTGCAATTAGCTGGGAAATTTGGTAATAATAACAATTTAACAATTTTATTACAATATTTTATTTTCTTTATTATCTATAATAGAAAGTATTTTATCTCACTTTCTCCCTTCTTCCTTTGCAAGTGGTAAAGGTACCACTGGCTATTTCCATTCTCTCAAACTTTCCCACTTCCATAGATATATATCCCTTATTTCTGTTTTGCTCTTCCCTCACATGTTTTAAATAATTATTTCATGCCTCCCTTTAAAACCGAGTTGCCAGAATACTTACTGATCTTTAATCCATTACGTTTTTTACATTTTTTCTGTCCATTTGAATTTGAGAAACTGGTTAAAAACACACAGATGCATCTCTATAACTGAAAAATGTGTGTTTTGTACTTGAACAAAGGGCTACACACAGCAGTTGGCAAGCCCTGTGCTCTGTGCATGCTACAATTCTCAGTAAGGATCATAGTTATTCACCACCAGCTGTTTATGGGGCACTGATGATTGTGGACCAATTGACCAGGGACTGCTTCCTCCCTACTCTAAGGTGAAGTGTTTACATATTCTATGAATATTGCTGATGAGGAGTCCTGAGGGAGAAGGCTGGAATTATGCTGTAATCAGATGGTTCCAAAGGGGTTTTTTTTAATATCTGTGATTCTGGTTTTTAATTTTGACTTACATATTGTACTACTCTAAATCATTGAAAAAAATAGGCATCACATGATATTACCTATGTATCTAAAAGAGAAGAAACTGGAGTAAAAGTAAATCTATATATAAATCTCAAACAAGTCCAAAGGAAATATCAAATTAAATTGGTCCCAATGTCCTCCCTCTTGTAAGAGATATTGGAATACATCTTCTGGTAACAAGAGAATTGTGTTTTCTTAGCTATGGCATGGTGAAATCTACCCTTCCTTTTCATGTAATAACCCACAGACCTTAAAGTAAGTATTTTTAATTTACATCATAGCCATTGAGAGAATTTATCCATTCATCCATAGAAAATTAGGAAAACCATTCCAGCCCCTCCAAAAATACCAAAATACCTGGAAAACAATTTATTAATAAGAAAATTTCCAACCATCAGTAATAAAAAGACACCAAGAAGATTAATTAAAACAAAACAAACTTGATCACAAGCAAATCAAACACAGAAATTAATACTATGAGAATGTAATAAACATACTATCAAGTTACTAAAAGATGAAGGTTAATTCCGACTCTATGGAGGTGGTCTATGAAAACACCCCATAAGGTCTACAAAAACACTCTATATATGTTATATGATGTATTGTATGCAGATCTAACTTACTAGAAAATACCTTTACAGAGTAACAAAATCTGTAAGATGTCGGGAGTTACCAAAATCCACTGTGATTAGGAAGAGGTTTTTATATCACCTTTCTCATGACTAAGTCTGCAATGTAACAGAGCATTGTTAAAGAAAAAGAAAAACAACTGTTAAGAGTGCAAGTATTATGTAAACTATTGCATGTATAAAAGGCAAGTAATTTAGGAAGCATGTCTAACTGATCTGGTATCAGATTTACTCAACAGAAAGAAATATAATTATAACTTTCTAAAGAACCTGAGTATAAACACACACGGAAAATTTACCTCTGATGAAGTTTTCCATGTGGGTCTCTCTTACTCCTGCTGTGAAACACCTTACTTACAAAGGCTGAAGGTGTACAGGGACAGAAGAGCCTAAAAAACTTCTGTGTTATCTGACAGAAAGCTCTTGCTGCTTGTGGAGTGCCCAGGGTGGCCCACCAACCTCACCTGAGACCACGAGGGTAAGGGCTTGCTTTCCTGGGGAAAAGGGCTGTTGTTCTCTTGCAGGAATCCTGGGCTGAAATTGCCAGTCTGACTCCCAAAATCGTCTTGTGAAGACAAATAGGAATTTCTCAAGCAGGTGTATGTGCAATTATATGTGTATTTTTATCCCGTTCTGTGAAGTGATAAGAAGATGGGAAGAAATCAGTATTTCTCTTTTTCTATAATTACAGTAAATTTAATAGGTTACTTTTCTTAGTTGTATGTGGTCCTTATAAGACTCAAGTGACAATGTTCCTGTTTATTTCTTTCCAGCAGTAAAATAAGCTCCAAATATGCCTTTCTAGGTAAATTTAATTTTCGGGGGGGGGGGGGCTCAGGAAAAAAAAAAAGCATTGCTTCTTATGTTTGAGACTAAAATTTTTTGTGACAAAATCCAGGAAGATTAAACACCAATTAATTAAGTAACAAGTCCTACCACTTTGAAGAGGTTTTTATTGGCAGGGATTTCTCAACCATTCTAGGTGACTGGTTATTATGCTCACGTGTGTGAAAGCCTGTCTTTCTATCAGTCTGTGTTCTCTTCGAGGCAAAGCTCATTACTCTTTGACCAAACCCCCCTGAATCTGAAGGAAACACTGTTCACACTCTCAATAGGAAACATTTTACTCACTAGAACAGTGCTATCATTAATCGTCTCTTCCCTCCCTTGCCCCTTCTTACATTCCTCAAAGACAGTATGGCATTCAAGAGGAGAAACATCTATTTTTTAACCTTTTCTAATGTATCGTCTTTTAAATCTTGTGTTTCCGTTTCCTTTCTCTACTCTCCCTTCCATTTGTCTACGTTTTTAAAGTATGATCCCCAAAACACAGACAAGCTGAAGCGTCCTGGGAAATGAAGAGTAGAATAACAAGCTCCTGTTCTTACACAAGGTGGAACCCTTAACACGTCACAGAATGCGATTTGGTCGCTGGGTTTGGAAAGTTCACGCTGCACAACTGGCATAACGTGTCCATCTGAAGTGTTTGCCCTCTGTGTGGGGCTAAGTGTTTTTAGAAACCACTGACAAGGACCGAACCCAGAGCAGATCTCTGGAGGACCTCGTTTGATGTCAGAGTGGGAAGACTTACCAAAGGGTTGCCTGTGCATGCTTTTTGGCCTTTTTTCCCCTTTTGTAGCTGAGCACACAGCATGTAATAATTTCATCTTCACCATATTGTCCCAGTTTTGTTGAGAATGTCATGTAGAACAGTTTGACTTCTTCCCCCTTATCCACTTAGACTGTCAAAGAGGGAAATTCCATCAACTTAACACAGTTTGTTTCTTGTCACTCTGTTATTCTTTCAAGGCTTTGTAAATGGATTGTTTAATTTGCTCCAGTATCTTTCTGGATGCTGAAATGAGGCTGACATGTCTGTGATTTTCTTGTTCCTTTTTTTTTTTTTTTTCCCCTCTGTTAAAATTTAAAAGAGTAAGTTTTGTCTTCTACTGACCTGTGATGCATCATCTACACTCCAAGTCATGGGAAATAATCACTAATGACTTGGAAATTGCTTTTATGACTACTTCAAATACTTGAGGAAGCTCTGGTAACTTAGATACTTCAAATATTGCCTAATCTCTCCATAAATAGATGACTGCTGGCTATAAATAACCATTTAAATTCTATTTTCAGTACTATGAATGACAGGGATATATTATTGAGGAAGCAGAGACTGAGTATTAAAAAGGTGTAGGGAGGAAATAATTTAGACTTTTAGGAGTTACTAGCTCAATTAAATCCTAAGTCATAAAAGAGTTATAAGCTAAGGTCATATGCAAGAAGTCCTCTTTACTTAAGAAATAAATCAGGGTCATTGGTCTGAGTCTTTTTTTAAAAGTCTTACATTGTCCCTTTAATTCTTTTATAGTTTTCTAAGTTCAGAGAGAGATTTAGCTTTGCCTGCTTAACTTGCCCTTGTCTGTGTAGAATCAAGAGCTGGATTGTTACTCAAGAATTACTTGAGTAACAAGCTGCAGATTTTTAGTATCACTCTGCACAATTCAGGCTTGAAAAAAACCAGAATATTGTACCTAATTAACTGAAAATTAAATAACGTCTTGCAATTTGTATGTAATTTCTCTACTGAATTAATTTCTGCAGGCTTTTTCCTACTTTCATAACGATTTTAAACTTAAAAGGATAAAATGCTTAATTTGAAATTCCAGCTAATTAAAGGAATTCTGTATTTTATTGATTTCTTGCCAGAAGAGAACAATTTAGAAGCATAAAAGATTACACTTGGGGAAGCAATAGCCTTTAGCATATTTGCTGGTGTATTTCAGCATTTGAGTTGGAGAGTTTTATATGATTTTACCTGATGCATTTTATTCGTATCGTTTTATCTAAGGTCTAATTACTATGTAAATTTTAAGGTAAAAGAAACAAAACTTGAGTTGCAAACACGAAGGAAAACCTTGTACAGAGTAGAAACCAGAATAAATAAGTTAGATGTCCTGTTCAATCTGATATATATTTTAAACACGTACTCACGACGATATTCTTAAAGGTCACAGATGATCTCAAACTGCAAGTTACCTTTTAGGTAAAAATGTTGATTATAATGAAAGTGATTGTAAGTGTGGTTTAAATTGTTCTTTTCTTTGAGAAGTGTCTCTTGCTCTCTCCTCTTTCCTGTTAATTACTGTGTGGTAGCAGAAGAGAAGCCTCTGCTCCAGCTGTGTAATGGGTGACATACAGTAATACCCTGTATTGAACTGTAGTGAAACTGCCTTTATCATGTATAGATGTATACTTTGAAAATATCCTTCACATGGGCAAATGCAGAGTTGGCTCCTTGTTCTCACGCTGGAGCTGTTACAGGCCAGACAAAGGTCATCTGTCAGTGGGACCTTTCAAGGATATTTCTGAGAGGACATTAATTTAAGCATCTGAAAAAGCAGGAATGTAAAAAGCAGTGATACACTGACTGCATTTGCTGTAGTTGCAGCTGGGAAGCACATGTCCTACAAAATACATCAAAGCTTTGGCAAAGTAAACTAAGTATAGAATATGGGAGTCGTGGATTATGTGCCCTAGATCTATTATTATGCAGTTCTTAACATTTTTGTGCTTTTCGTATCGACGATTAGTCATGAGCCCCACTCTCCATTGTAAAAGCAAAGGTATTAATTATTACAAATGAGTGTTCTCAAAATTACTTAAGGTAAGGCTGAGACTAGAATTAAAGACTTATAATTTAACAAAGCCTAGCTTTAATATTTTTTTTTTCCAGCATTTGGATCCAAACATCGATTAGTCTTTTGTAAATGCTTTTTTTTTTTTTATACAAAAAAGAAAAAAGAAAAAGAGAAAAAAAAAAGCAAGCTCCAGGCTGAGATAAACTTTCCAGTCTTCAACTGAAATTTATTATCCTAATTAGAAACCTAGCTGTTTTGAACCGGATTCTTGATGTAATGCTGGACTATTTCCTATTTAAGATGGGATTTTTATGGGATACCTGAAATTGTTCCAGGAAAATAACTTTTAGAAAGAAACAAAAAACCCTTTTGGTTCCCAGATAATTTCTAGAGCATTTCATTTATCGATATTATCAAAGTAATCTTTCACTACAATAAAAGATTAGCAAAAATAGGCATTCTGTGCAAACTGACCATACTTAACATGGTCTTTTCATATGGCATTTTCTACAAAGCTTCCAAGTTTTCATATCTGGATATACGGTAAGCCGGGAATTTTAAGGTATTTGTACTGATGCTCTTGTATTGCATGACTCAAAATGCTTCAGGTGCACAAACTTGTTTGTTTGTGTTTCCTAATCATTTAGAAGAAAGAGAGGGGAGAATAGGTACTTTCCTTAAAAAAAAAAAAATAAGGTAAAATAAAAAGTGCTTTCGAGTACCCTGTGGTAGCATTTATCTCACATAAATAGGTCCTGTTTCTATTTGAATGGCAAAGTAGTCGTAAATACATTTAGGTTTCGGGTTTAATTTCATTCCTTAGCAGAAATGCACAGGAAAATCTGACAGCTAGAACTAATTTAAGATGCCAAGTTTTTGTTTCTGTTTCTACGTTATTTTACGTTGTATTTTTTGTTTTTTAAATTAAGAAATCAATGAAGGATACAGCCAATATGGTGTTTCTGTAGAAACAAAAATCTCATCTGTACAATAATGAGAATATAGATAGATGTTCCAGATGGTACACATGCAAAAGGAAGGCTAGCTGTATACCAGATGGTGTTATGACCATACATAAAGCAACTGGATAATCATTGTAATATTGTGACATGTCATATTGTATGAATAAATATTATGTTTTCCTGAGGAAAAAAAAAAAGGTAAAACCACCAGTAAATTAAACCACACAAGGCAGATGTGGCACTTATCCAGGAGTTACAGTTCTAAAGGAACAGCAATATTGGAGCAGGAACTTAGAGGCTTTATTTCTTTAATTCATTCCCCTTATGAAAAAGAGGTAATTCTAATTAGAGTAAAATGTGCTTTACACAATTAATGTTAGCTTAGGCAACTCTAGAGTATTTAGAATACTCTGTTTCTAAAATAGAACCAATTCTTTTGCTCCCCCCAAGAATATTCAACTATTACAAAGACTTGTATTCCTACGATATTTCTCTTTAAATGCAATAGACGTTTAGAAAAAAAAATGTGAGGTTGTAACATGAACAATTTCCATATCAGGATGATGCTGCAATGAATGGAAACAGTCACTGGCAAGATAGAAAAAGTGAAGTGGCCTGCAGTGTTATAAGCAAAACTGTACCAGTTTTTGTGTAACTTCCTGTGCAAGAGATGGGATAGTTTGACTTACAGAAGTGCAATGAGTGTCAGCATGTCAGATGTATATTAGGAACATGTTGCTAGGGTAGTATGAGGACATAATTCTAACTGTAAAATGCTTCCAGTATAAACACAGAGTCAGCTACAGCTGAAGACTTTCTCCTGAGCGAAACGACACATCCCTTGTTTCTTGCTTGAATTAGGTCATTCTGTTGTTCTGGACTTTTTAGTAAAAAATGGACCTCTTCAGTCTTGGGACATGAGAATGAATTGTAAAAGGAAAAACTTAGTGCACCAAATGCAGTGTTGTTTGTTCTTGAACGACAGCTACTGTAGGAAAACATTTCCATGCTTATTGGACATATCACAGTATCTAATTTATTAATAACCCTGCAAGGAAGCAGGCTATATGATTTGCAGGAGAGCTCTGGGATGAAGGCTACTTTGCTCGTTGAATCTTAGCCATACACTTGGGAACTATCACCAGAAAAAACTGTAAACAAATGAACAAACAAAAACCCCAAACAAACCAACTCCTGCCCCCTCCCCAAACTCTGAAAATAGATAATGTCAGATAGTCATAGAAGGAACAGCTACATCATCCAGTCTGATGTCCATATATCGCTCATAATGTTGATTAGAACAGTGCTATTGATAAAAGCAATTTGTCTGGATAAAGCCTGTGCCCCAAAAGGATGCACAGTTGTGAACTGAAGGCCTTTGGAGTCATGAGAATCCTCTGTTATCTTAAGCAACTTATTCTGATAACATGTTTACTACAGATCTAGTTTTAGAAAAAAAAAAAACCACAACAATTTCTCAGTTGAATTGTCTCTTTTCAAGCACTTCTTTCTATTCCTTTTCTCAGTGTATTTGCTTTCTGTACTGTCTTCTAAGGATAACAGGATGTATAAATAGCTCCATTGATACAAATACTGTAAATACTAGTATTTCCCTCGTACAAAAAGATAATAACTTTTGCAATTTTCCCTACAGCTAATTATTACCAGTAACTTTCAAATATTTACAAGCTGGAATGATACATTAGTTAAGATAATTAAAATTAAATATATCTGCCTGTTATAATTTTTGAGGAACT